AATACAGCTTACTGTGGAAGACTGATATGTAAGAATAAAAAATTAGTAAAAAAAATAAAAAATAATAATATAAAAATAAAAAAATCCTCATTATATGCATTCTGAATCACCCAAAAATGAATAAGTTTTTCCTACATCATTAGGAAGGAGGCTGCAACAATCAGAATAGTGTACTCCTCTATCAACACAGACTGAAGGCTAAATCTCACAAAATAATTATAAATAAACTAATTCAACAAGTTAATTTAAACCACCTATAATTTTTTCTAGTTGTTAACAATAATACTTTCATGCTAAAAAAAAAAGTTTAAAATAAGTATTCTACTTTTTCTAGTCCATTCCTGATCAGACAGACTTTCGAGTGCAGTCATTCCAAGTGGACATGTTTATAAAAGGGATAATCTAGTAATTGCTGCTGAATTTGGGGAGATAATTTCAAGGATAACCAAAAGGTGAGAATATTACCAGGGTTTCAGTACCTCTAGTTCCTTGCAAAAGACAAATGATTTAGCTGTTTCAAAGAGAATTATATGTAAGGCATATTAACAGGATTGAAGGATAGTATAATCATATCCTTTAGAAAATCTCTTAATCTCATCATCAAGATTGACAAGCAAATGAAATTCGCAAGTAAATCAACATCTCCTCCTTCAGTTACCACCACCAGGCTTAGGTAGATTTGAGAGAAAAAAATATTTAGGTTATATAACCCCTTTTACTCTGAAGTGTACTGTCTTCACTCTCTTTTACATTGATCTGAGGGTTCACTTGTTTCTGCAATTGCTTGTAGCAGGGGCTAGTGAATTTTTCCCATACTAAAGGTAACTACTATATATGCAATATACTATACAGCTTGGAGGAAGACACTATAATCCAGTATATTGAAATATGTAACAAAGGTAATCTTTTCCAATCAATATGGAAAAAGTTCCAAATCAAAACTGAAAGTCATCACACTACACAGTGTAGAAATCTTAAGCTAGGTCTAGTGGCCTGTAATCATAGCACTTTGGGAGGTGTCACGGTGGAAGGATCTCTTGAGGCCAGGAGTTTGAGACCAGCCTGAGCAAGAGCCATATCCCATCTATACAAAAAATAGAAAAATTAGCCAGGCATGATAGCACACGTGTGTAGTCCCAGCTACTCAGGAGGCTGAGGCAGGAAGACTGCTTGAGCCCAGGAGTTGGAGGCTGCAGTGAGCTATTATCATAACACTCCAGCCTGGGTGATAGAGCAAGAGCTTGTCTCTTAAAAAAAAACAAACAAAAAAAAACCTGTAAGATATTATGCTGAGCATTCCCAATAAATGAATACTTAAATATATATGGATAGTGATAAAAACCTAAAACTACTGCAACATTTTGGCTCTTGAAACCAAATGTAGAAAAAAATTTCTGTCCTTAGTATCTGCCAATGTTTTTCAATAAGGCCCTACATCTAAATTCATTAGAAATACAGAAATCATCTTTACCTCAAGACAACCACATACCCACCCCATCACCAAAAGGAAGCTTCTATCCTTCCCACTTGAGTACCTCCTCAGGTATATAAACTGGCCTTGGAGGCCGGGCGCTGGGAGGCCAAGGCAGACAGATTGCTCGAGGTCAGGAGTTCAAAACCAGCCTGAGCAAGAGCGAGACCCGGTCTCTACTATAAATAGAAAGAAATTAATGGGGCTACTAATATATATATAGAAAAAATTAGCCGGGCATGGTGGCACATGCCTGTAGTCCCAGCTACTTGGGAGGCTGAGGCAGCAGGATTGCTTGAGCCCAGGAGTTTGAGGTTGCTGTGAGCTAGACTGAAGCCAAGGCACTCACCCTAGCCTGGGCAACAAAGTGAGACTCTGTCTCAAAAAATATATAAATAAATAAACTGGCCTTGGAGATCTGGCTTTGTTCTAGAAATCTATACATGAAAATACTAATATTTTCATTAAAAAAAGAATTTAAGTCTTGCCTAAGAAAAGCCAAACATTGTTTACTCACCCTTGTCATTTTCTAGCTGTTCAACTCCAACACTTCAAACTAAATATTCTAGATCCAGAAAGTAGAGCTTATGCCCCAAATCTACACATACATACCATCTTCAAAGGTACATTTCTTTTCCACATGGGTAAAAAAGTTTCACAAAAGAATTTTTTTAAACTAGATATTTCTGATTTTTAAAAAATGACTTGTCAAAAAGACATAAATGTATCAAAATGTGCTTTACCAAATTCAGCTGTGTGTGTAAAATAGCTACATTACAAAAGTCATGAAGTCCTTATTACTAAGAATACAACTTTTTTTAAAGATAGGTAAAGGGTCCAAAATACAAAAAACTCATTCTGGTCTCAAGATAACTTTAGACTCAGACTTTTAATACTGGTACTATGGTTTTTCTCCCAAGAGGCTATTTTGAAGGTATGTCACAAAGGGATGGTCATATAGGTTTTATCCCCAATACAGCATGAATGTAACAGTCAATAACACTATAACGCAACGTACTGATTCAATTCGACAAATATATATTGTATGGGACCACACAAAATTGTCACATTAAGCCAAATTAATAAACCTGTCATTTTGTCTCTCTTTCAAACTTTTATGATTCATGGCCAATTACTGCAAAACAAAAGTTCTATACTTTAAAGACAGACAGTGCTAAAATATATATGTGTGTATGTCTGTGTACACATATGTATGTATACACACATATACATACACTAGTTAAATACTATAAAAATGAACATAACACTTTAAGGACAAGGAAAAATGGAAAAATGCTTCTCAGTATTTTCTTTCCATGGGAATTCCTCACTCTGCTATTATGTTAGTCTTAAAACTACTCTAATAAGACCTAACTTAATTAATAAGGATTCTGTAATATGAGCACTCATCACAAAGACAGAGACAGTAAAAGTTTGATAAGCAGACTGCCACTCAAATAATCTACCAACATGCTTTCAAATCAAAAGTTACGTTACAGAAGTGACTGAGATATAATTATGTCTCGAGATTAATTTTGTCATGTAATCTTAGAAAGGAAAACAGACAACCATCACCATAAACTTCAAAATTATTACTCAAAATTCTAAGTGAGAAAGATCCCCCAGGCCGGGCGCGGTGGCTCAGGCCTGTAATCCTAGTACTCTGGGAGGCCGAGCCAGGTGGATCACCCAAGGTCAGGAGTTCAAAACCAGCCTGAGCAAGAGCGAGACCCCATCTCTACTATAAATAGAAAGAAATTAATTGGCCAACTAAAAATGTATAGAAAAAATTAGCCTGGCATGGTGGCGCATGCCTGTAGTCCCAGCTACTCGGGAAGCTGAGGCAGGATTGCTTGAGCCCAGGAGTTTGAGGTTGCTGTGAGCTAGGTTTACGCCACGGCACTCTAGTCCAGGCAACAGAGTAAGACTCTGACTCAAAAAAAAAAGAAAGAAAAATCCCCCAAAATATATGATGTAACCTCTTACACAATGCTGCTACATTAGCACATTAACAAAAAGAAAAAATATCCTAGATAAGGAAATGGTTAATGTGTGCAACAGGTAGTAATCACCTTACAATTAAAAAAAAAAAAGAAAAATCTTACCAGTACAAAAGTCAGAGTCCCTGGATCTAACCATTATACCTCTACGTTGTTAAAAAATGTCAAAAGTTTTGCTAGCTTAAAGGCTCTTCCTTTAAAGAGTGGACTGCAAGATCTACCTAACAGCATGACATGATAAAAATGAATTCCATATAGCAGTAACTACCTGGGGAGGGAATTCTGCAGCGTCCTCTCCTTTTCTGTTCCCAAACAAAAGTTTGATTCAAGAAATGTCAAAACAAAAATAAATCTTAAACATACAAAATTCCACCGGTACACTTAATTTCTAAAAGTTAGACATAAAGAATTATTATCTCAACACATGAATTGGGAAAAGGCAAATCTCTGAAATAAGGCTCACCAGAATACACGCCTGATGGATACACCTGCCAATATATACCAAACCTTTTCAGCAATCACATTAAAAAAAAAAAAAAAAAAAAAGAGTCTTTTCTCAAAAAGAAAAAGAATAGGGATCATCAAAAAATGGATTAAAGAACCATTCTTTTTTCCTCCACACTCAGTCTAAAACACAGAGCCAAATAAAACCACCATAAATTCCTTTAGTAATCTTTTTAAGTCTTTCAGTTCAGCAAATTTCACATACTACATACAATTCTGTGACTTTCCTCATACCCCATTCTACAAACAAAAATTCAAATTTTTGAAATTAATATATGGTAAGAATATTAATAAAGTTCTCTTGCACTAAAGAAAACAAAAATCAAATTCTTAAACTCCAATAAGGAAAACCTGATAGGAAAGTAGGCTTAAGGGAGCAAGTATTCATATGCACACACAAGCTAATTCCTTCATATCATGACTAAAATTTCTTTCAACAAAATCTCATACATTCCTCCCAAAATACAAAATACAGAACTTTATCAGCATTCAGTATTCTACCTACCTTTCCTCAATCAATCCCCCTAACAACCCTCCAAATCTACCAAAGTGTTAATTTGTAAAACAGAAGAAAATAATTCATAGTTCTACTCCCAGCTCAAAGTCACAAATTCTGGCAGAACATAATCTTAAAAAATTATGTAAAACTATCCTTCCTCAGTTTTGCCCCGAAAATTTATTTTCTAATCTAATTTAATCAAGTAGATTACAATGTCAGTATTGTAAAATTAAAAATCCTTGTCACATTATAATCTACAAAATCCTTTGATTTACAATTGTTTCTATAAAAGCTAAAGGCTACATACAACTCCATTTCCAAACAGGATGAATATTAAGGCTCTAACTGCTTGGCCATAAACCAAATGAGATATTAACATACCTCCCCCCCCAAAAAACCTCCTTTAGTGCACAGAAGTCACCTGAAAAGTTTTAATCACAGTATGTTCACAAATGGAAACAAAATAGTTATTTTACTTCAAAATTCGGGTAGGGGGAGGGAAGAGAGACAGAAAGAATATACTAACCAATCTCTGGCTGTAACGAATCCTTTCTTCTTCGGGTTCCATCTCTCTCTCTTCTGTTGAAATTACTGTAAAGAAACCACTCCAGGGCTGCCTTCCTCTTCCTCCTTAGGAACCAGATTGCAACACTAAATAATGATACAAGCAGAAATGAGAACTCATTCTCAAACTTACACTTTCTGTTCACAGAAAAAAGCATTTAAGATATGTGATAAAAGCTCTTTGAGAAATCAGGTTCCTCTTCATGAGTTTGGGACCCTTCTGCTCTTGGGCAAGTGGATCCATGTCATGTTCAACATTAATCACCACATCACAACTATCCGCGGCCTAAGCAAAACGAGATGTTGGTTTCAGTTCCTTGTGGATGGACCACACCACTTGTTTCTCTCCACTGGATTACAATTACCAAGGCTCCCCTTCATGGCAGCATTAGAAAAAAAAACCGTCCAGGACTTTTATGACTTTTATCTCTAGAGAGCTGACCAGGTGAAGCGGCACTGTACTAATCCAGATCCTAACCAAATTAGTTCTCTCTCAACGGTAATTAGAAACTAAGGGAAAGAAAGGCAAACTACCTATAGAAAAAGAGGGCAAGAAATTAATATTTAAAGAAAAGACTCCAAAACAATTTCCCATATCCTTCCATTAAGGCCGAACACAATCGCCGCCTTTCCTAGACTCCCCAGATCTTTTCATTTCCCAACCTACCCTCCACCCCATCACAAGATGTGCACAATTCTGAAACAAATTTGAGAGTTGCAAATCAGGGACAAAAATTCCATCTGATTTTTTTCGTATAAAGTGATAAAATAAACGATTCGATCTATGGATATAAGTAAAATACGTCTTTTCCATAATTAAATAAAGACCGGTTGGCGCGGCGGTCAATCCATAACACCAAGAAAAGGTTTTTTCTAAATATTCTCATAGATAATGGCTTCCATTGGGAACGCAGATATTCTCCCCTTTTTGTAACTACATCACAGCCACGTTAACAGCATCCTTTCAAAACTGCTACGAGGGAACCAGAGGACCCGATGACATAGTTTGTGAGAGCAGTTCGTGGCAGAGCCCTCCAGGAGGAAGCTCTGGCCCGAAGTCGGGAGGGAAACCGCGTTTGCACCCCCTGGACGAGGACAGCCCGGGCTTGGAGCAGCCAGGGCCGAAGAGGAAAAACGGCACATCTCGCCAGGCTCCCCCAGGGAAAGGTGTTTCAATGGTTCCCCCATCGGAACAAGAAATAGAAACTTTACATTAAGTCTTTAGATAACACAGTGAACCAAACTTCCAAATGAGGGGGGGAGGGGGAATCTCACCGGAGATTTTGCTCTTGAGTTCTTGTCCAAGTGAGAAGTAAAAGATTCCAAAAGCTGAGAGGAAAAATTAAATCCCAAACGTCGTCTTCGGTTTTTCCGTGGACCAACCCATCCACAGAGGGTCAGAGCGACCCGGAAAAGAGAGGAAACAGTTGCTGAATCAAACCTCCTCTTCTGGCTTTGGAGACTGGGAGTCGGAGGCGTCAGGCGAGGGGAGCACGACCCTCGGCGCCGAGCCCAGGGCGCCCCCGCCTCCCCCGAGCCAGCGGTCAGCAGCCCCAGCCCGAGCCCGAGCCCCGGGCCAGCCCGGGCCGCGGGGAGCGCCCTCCTCGCGTGCCCTCGCCGAGCAGCCGCTGGCCGCCTTCGGGAGCGGCGGCCGATCAGCTGAGACCGGCGGGCCCGATGCTCCCCGCACCGCCCCGGCCCCCCGGAACGCGGGCCCCGGCCCCGGGGGGCGGAGAGGGCGGGAGCGGCGCGGCGCGCCGGGATGGGGGCCCGGGCTCCCCTAGCGTCTCCCCCTTAGCCCGGGCTCCGCTCTGCGGGACGAGCCCCCCGGCTACTCCCCAGTCGCAGAGGAGGGATTCCGGGAGATGGGCCCCCTGGCGTTGCCCCTCCTGCCGGAGCGCCCCCTGCCCAGGATAGACAGAGCAGCGACAGGCCCAGCCGCTGGGAAGGTGCTCTGCGAGCCGCAGCCGCCGCCGCCGCCGCTGCCGGGGAGGGGTGTTGTTTCCCTCACACAGGAGGAGCCGCTGAAGCAGCCGCCGCCATTTTGAACCCGTCAGACTCTCACATACACACAGCTCCTCCGCGGCGCACTGCGCAGGCGCCGCCTCCCCACCCCCTCCTCCAGCTCGCCTCTCCACTCCCCACCCCCCTTCAAATCAGCCTTCGCTTCTTACCGCTCTCCTGGGCGCACGTGAACGCGCACGCGTCACTCCCCTCTAACGCGCACACACCGCCAGCGCGCGCACGCGCGGATGCGTCGGCCTCGAATCGCCCGCGCCCCGAGACGCCGACGCGGCTCCCCTCCCCACCGCGCGTCAGCCTGCCCGCCCTCCCGCCGGCCTACCGCCCCCGCTCCCCGTCGGCCTTATTCCAGGGCTTGGGCCCGGCCGGCTCCTCGCGCCTGCGCGCAGGGCGCCGATCCTCCTCCGCGCGCGCCCTCCCCCCAGCACACCCTCGCTCACACACACGCATACACACACAGACACACTTCGCCTGTGACCCCGCCCCTCGCGGCCAGCTGCGCCGGCCGCCCTCCCCCACCTCTCCTGGGAGGGGGGTGACCCCCGACCCCCCACAAAGCACAGTCCCCCTCCCACGGCAGTGGGGAGAAGCGCCCCCTTCCCCTTCAACCGCCCTCTGTCCCAGGCGGCCCGTCACAGTCACACAACCTGAAGGCCGGGAGGCCTGGGCCAGGGCAGCCGTTGCCCGCCTCAGAGCGGGGTCTCCCGGGGTCAGGCTGCTGGGCAGGGCCCGCCGGACCTGGGCACCCTGCTCAGGCCTGCCCAGGGGGAGAGGGCGTGGGGAAGGGTCGCATTCCCGCCAACTGCCCTCCCCTCGCGCGCCGGCCAGTGGGCCGAGGCCAACCTGCCCGCCATCCCTGGGCAGGCCCCGGCGCCCCCACCGCGGGGCCCATCCGCCCTCGGCTCGGGGGGCCCCTCGGTGCAGCGGCCTGGCCCCGCCTCACCCACTCCTCGCTGCTCCGAAGGGGCAGGAACCGAGAGTAGCATGTCTGTCCTGGGCTCGGCTCCCCCCGGGGAGCTCCAGGCGCTTGACAAGGGCGTCCACAGGTACCAGGCGCAGGAGTGGTCTCTGCGACGGCCCGGGGGCGGCGGCGGCCGGCGCACCCACCGCGGGCCGGAGGCGCCCGGGGAGGTGGCCCAGGAAGCCCCCGCTCCTCGGCCACGCTCAGGTTTCCGCAGCGCCGGTGCCCCCGGCGGCCCGGGTGGGATGTGACCCCGCCCCCCGCGAGTCGGGGCGCCCCCGGCCCTGGACCGACCCCGCCGCCCTGGGCCGCGGCGGGCGCAGGAGGCCCGGCCGGGAAGATGTCTCCTCTCGGTGCGCGCAGCTTCGCGCGAGGGTCAGCGACGGGGCAGCGGCCGCCCGAGCTGCGCCTGCCCTGCCCACGGACGGGCTCCCGCGGCTCGACAGCTGCCCGACGAGCGGGCAGGCTCCGGACGTCGACGGAGCCCGGCCAGAGGTATCCGAGCAATGCCATGAGAGCAGCCCAACCGCGATCCGGGCATTTCCCCAGCCAATCTCTTGCTTTGGGGCCCGTTTAAATTATAAATCCCATAAAGGACCGTGGCTTGGGCGTTACACCTCAGGGTTGGCACTATAGGCTTCACTGCGCTCTTGCTGAATGGTGTCGGACAAATCTTTTTCTCCCTGCCTGCCTTGGTTTCCCACTCTTCAAACTCTTGATTCCTGGGAGGCGGGAATGAAGAAGAGAGGAAGGGCATGGAGTGAATCACGTAACCTGCATAAGCAGCTTTCAACTCTTTTAGGAAGACGTTAGCGAAAGATAATTGAAATAATGATACCTTCTATTTCCGTCAAGGTTTGAACTCTAGGGTAAAGGCGCTACGTAAACAAACGCAAGATATTTATTACCACACAAGGTTTTTCTACATGCAAACTTAGGGAGTTTTTACAGACATTCTCTGCTTTGTTTCACAGCATCCTTAGGAGACAAGCTGAAGTGCCAGGTAAAGTTATATTCATTTTAAAGACCGACAACTGAAGTATAGAAAGGTTAAACAGTTTGCATAATTGCTCCTACAGAGGGTACAGCACTCAGCAATTGCCACTGAAACACGTCAAACAACAGAAAAGGTTTGTCAGTATGGTATCATCCTATTGCATTCTGGTCACTGGAAAATATTGTTTATTCTGATAACAATTTTGTTCAGACTTCTTAAATTTACGGAGCACCGATACAAAGAGGATAATCACCAAAACTATCAGATCTAAAGCTTTTTGAAATATTTCAGACTATAATAAAATATATTTAAAAAGCACCAGTCTTTCACATCGGTGCAACCAGATATGGTCCCATAAGCATCTTTCTCTGTCTAGGTATAGAAAAAGTTAGCAGCTTGTTTTGTTTCTAAGGAGAGAAAGATTTTTGCCACTGTCAGATTAAGTAAGTGGTTGGCCTCATTGCTGCTTGCAAAATAAACAGCTTTATTTCCTTCCCACTCGTTCCTATAGCCCAAGGAATACTTAGGGGCAAGGAGAGAGAGAGGTCTCTAGCAGTAACTCAATTTGGTCTCCCTATTTTTCTTAAGGTCCAGAGCCCCTTAAGTAATTAACCCTCAAGGCACTGAGATGCTCACCTTTGGCAAACAGTTACCTCCAAGTTTAACTCAGGTTAGCATGCTGGGAGGAAAACCTAGGACAATAAAAAAAAACCCAGAAAACCCCAGAACAATAATAGTAGTACCCATTTTGAACAGAACTGCAAATAGACCAAAGTTTGTCAGATTGCAGCCAGCTCTTTTCCAGTTGAAAACCATTTGTTAACTAGTCTGCTTTGGAGGAAGGGGGCATTTAAACAGATATACACAATGGTTTCTCCCCAGGCAGGCTTTGTTAATATTCCAAAGCAGATGTGCAGGGTGAGATAAGAAATAGGCAGATGGCTAGTGATTCCCCCACAATCACTGTGAGTAGCTCTGATTGGCAAGGGCAGATCTGTGAGGCTCACTGCATTGCCCTGAAAGAGCCATGTCCAAGGAGAATAGAACTTGGGAGATTACCCAAGAAGGCCAATAGAATTATGAACTATATGACTTCAACTACAGCTGCAGGGATAGGGGGAGAGTGGTATGTGGGAAGAAGGAAAGAAAAATTCCTTCTAGAATTGTTGAGAAGAGGGTCCCTGCCTGAAATAAGCTATGCCTTAATAAGATATCAACAAATCTCTGCCTTCCTGAGCAAAGCTAAGACCCAACAAATGGTGAGTCAAAATCCAGATCACCCACTTCTTTTAGGAGACTTTAAGGCATGAGAAGAGAACTCTGTGATCTGGTTAACTAAGTTAAACTATTTCCAATTTCTCCTTAAATGTTAAGGAGGAAGTAAGGATGTCCCACACAGTGTAGATCTAAGCCAAAATAGAGAAGTTGGTCTTGAAGACCCCCCTAGGAGGTAGCATAACCAGTGATTAAAAAGCTTCAGCATCCCGGACTGAAGGGCTACTCTGCTGGCTACTAGCCATTCGATCTTAATAAAAGCCTCGCTTTTTCATCTAAAAGTGGGAAAAATATCAAACTCTCAGGATGCAATGAATAATGTCTTAAAGCTCAGTGTCTGGCACATAATAGCCTCTATTTATGAACATTTTCTATGTTTCTGACTTCTAGTTTTAAGGAAAGTTTTGAGTAAAGATGCTTCCATGTTTAAGTAAATTAAAGAGCTTTCACATGGTTCGCAATCGTTTACATAAAGCTAAGTACTGACTTATTCATAGCTTCTCTGTCCTTTCCTAGCTCCTGGTCTCCCTCACGTCCTCAGCCCCTGGTGTCTCTGCCGTCCATTTTTCTCTCTTTCCTGCCCCCAGCCGCCTCTCTCTCATCATCTGCCTCCTGAGGTCTCTTTCTTTCCATCCTTCTCTCCTTTGCTCTGCCTACCTCCCGTGTTCATTTTCTCTCTCCTGGGCCGTTATCATCTGACTGAACTGCCTGCCCACTTCCCTTTACCATCTATTTGGTGCACTTAATCACAGGCTCTCTAGTTTTGTTACTTAATCATTTCCAGAACATCTCTCTCTAGCCCTCCCTGCCTCCTTGACTATAAGTTCCTTGAAGACAAGGACCAGGCCCCATTTGTATCCCTCAAAGGAACTTCCAAAATTAATATTACATACTGCTTCAACCCTAGGTGAAATAAAAACTGAGTGTTGGGTGGGGTAATTATGAGCTTCAAGTAATAGAAAGTTTTCTTTTTAAGTCTGGAAGTAGAATATAAATTGATCTGATTAAGAAAAAAACAAGGCCAGGCACAGTGTCTCATCCCTTTAATTCTAGCACTTTGGGAGGCTAAGGCAAGAGGATAGCTTGAGCCCAGGAGTCTGAGGCTTCAGGGAGCTATGATGACACCACTGCACTCTAGCCTGGGTGACAGAGCAAGACCCTGTCTCAAAAGATAAAAGAAAGAAAGCCATAAATGCCCTGTAGATTCTTTTATCATTGAACATGGACATCACATGAGATTCTTGTCGACTGCATGGAGTGTGGTTGCCTCTTTCCTTGGGACCATGTGATACAGCCTTTCCTGGCCCAATGCTTCCTTGCTGCCATCTTTTCCCATCTCTCCTGAGCCACAGGTTGATTTTGGCTGTTGGGGCAGCTGCAGGAGCATCTGGGATCCACCCCTCCTTAGCAGCCTTAGCAGCCTTAGCTTCACTTTGGGGCAAGGCCACCCTCAATTCTCACTTCTCACTTCTAAAAGGGTAGGACTCTGCCCTGCCTGGGAATGGGGCTGTAAGATGCAGAGCCCCATGCCCCACCCCTCAGTTACACCTGTGCTTGCTAGGGGACAGTTTCTAGGGTTTCGGAATCTGTCTGCAATCTTGTGCTTGCTCACAGCTCAGGTTGCTGTTGATGGTTGTGTAGTGCTCTAGCCTTGTCCCGAAGCACCAATTGCCTAAGCACTTAGACCTGTTCCCAGCCCCTCCCAGTGGATCTGATCTTTGTTCATCTTCTCCAGGGCATTCACTGCCTTTTGTTAGCTCCTACTAAAGCTGGTATTCCTTCAGCTGCTTTGCGCAGGGTACTTGCCAGCTGTGTGTTATTAACCCAGACTCCTTAACCCAGGCATCCTCAAACTATAGCCCGCGGGCCACATGCAGGTGTTTTTGCCCGTTTTTTTTGTTTGTTTTGTTTTTTGAGACAGAGTCTTGCTTTATTGCCCAGGCTAGAGTGAGTGCCATGGCATCAGCCTAGCTCACAGCAACCTCAAACTCCTGGGCTCAAGCGATCCTCCTGCCTCAGCCTCCCGAGTAGCTGGGACTACAGGCATGCGCCACCATGCCCGGCTAAGTTTTTCTATATATATTAGTTGGCCAATTAATTTATTTCTATTTATAGTAGAGACGGAGTCTCACTCTTGCTCAGGCTGGTTTTGAACTCCTGACCTTGAGCAATCCGCCCGCCTCGGCCTCCCAGAGAGCCATTTGTTTTTTTACTTCAAAATAAGATATGTGCAGTGTGCATAGGAATTTTTTCACAGTTTTTTTAAAACTATAGTCCAGCCCTCCAACGGTCTGAGGGACAGTGAACTAGCCCCCTGTTTTAAAAGTTTGAGAACCCCTGCCTTAATCTGTCCAAAGCTTAGTTCTCTCTCTAATAAAACAGAGAGAATGATTCCTGCCCTGTTTCCTGCTAGGATTGTTGTGGATTCCAATGGACTAATGGGCACAAACATCCTTTGGAAGTTGGAAGATGACATATTTAAAAGGATTGCTGGTTCTATTTTTAAATTTATTGTAATAAGAATACTTGACATGAGATCTACTCTTTAAACAAATTTTTAAGTGCACAATACATTCTCTGATTTCTTTTTTTCTAAAGGAAGAATTTGGGTACTTACTGAGTACCTTTTGCTCAATGCTAAATTAAGTACGTGGATGGAAATTAGCCGGGCATGGTGGCGCATGCCGGTAATCCCAGCTACTCGGGAGACTGAGGCAGCAGGATTGTTTGAGCCCAGGAGATTGAAGTTGCTGTGAGCGAGGCTGACACCACGGCACTCACTCTAGCCTGGGCAACAAAACGAGACTCAGTCTCAAAAAAAAAAAAAGTATTTGGATGGAGAAAGAAGATTTGAAAAATTAGAAGATTTGATTATTACCATTGAAGATTTCACATCATAGAGAAGACACTGTGAAGATGTAACATACTTAGAGAACAGTCATTACAGTGAATTGTTGGAAAATGATGTAGACAATAAGAACTGGATGTAGAATTCCACTTGGATGTAAGCCCTGTGGGACAGGAAGTTTTGTTCACTGCTGCATCCCTGATGTGTAGAACGGTGCCAGGCATTCATTCAACAGTGGCACTCATTCATTTATGTTTATTGAATCAGTGAATAAAGTAGAGTGGTGACACTTTTGAGGGAGGGAGGAGTGTGAAGGCTGGAGAGCTTTGACTCGTTGCAGAGAAGTTTTGGTTTTGGTAGAGTAGGAGAGGTATGTATATTCTAGAGGAGAGGGTTGATGCAGTAGCAATTATTCCAGGGGAACTGTTCCTACAGCTGTCACGGTAGCTGGAATAGAGGTGATGGAAGCTAACACCCCTACCACTGCAAACCAAGCCAGGAGGTGAGTGTGCGAATCTTAGGCCACGTTCTTCACTGTCTTTTTATTCTAGCTTCTTTTGTGATCTAGTCTTTCTGCTCCACTTATCTCTCTCCACTGTCTGCTGTCTCCAATTCAGGATGTCGTTTTTGTTTGTTTGTTTGTTTGTTTTTTTGGAGACAGAGTCTCACTGTCTTGCCTGGGAGAGACAGCATCAGCCTAGCTCACAGCAACCTCAAACTCCTGGGCTCAAGTGGTCCTCCTGCCTCAGCCTCCCTGGTAGCTGGGACTACAGGCACACACCACCATGCTGGGCTAATTTTTTCTATTTTTAGTTGTTTGGCTAATTTTTTTCTATTTTTAGTGTAGATGGGGTCTCACTCTTGCTCAGGCCGGTCTCGAACTCCTTAGCTCAAGCGATCTTCCCTCCTTGGCCTCCCAGAGTGCTAGGATTACAGGCATGAGCCAATGTGCCTGGCCCAGGATGTCATGGCATCAGCCTAGCTCACAGCAACCTCAAACTCCTGGGCTCAAGCAATCCTGCTGCCTCAGCCTCCCAAGTAGCTGGGACTACAGGCATGCGCCACCATGCTCGGCTAATTTTTTGTATATATATTAATTGGCCAATTTATTTCTATTTATAGTAGAGACGGGGTCTCGCTCTTGCTCAGGCTGGTTTTGAACTCCTGACCTCGAGCAATCCGCCTGCCTCGGCCTCCCAGAGTGTTAGGATTAAAGGCGTGAGCCACCGCGCCTGGCCCAGAGCACAGCTTTTGATGTGATATTATATACTACATATCTCTAATTATCTTTCAAAATATCTCTTTAATTATATTGATATCATTCATTATATTATGAATGGTATAACTTTAAAATAACTATCTTTTTTTTCTCCAAAATGCTTGCTAAGTATTTAAACTCTGAAATGTATTTAGTCTTCATTTTCTTTCTGGCTAAATCTATTTTTGCACTCTCTGGGGGACTTGCAAGAAAATAATTGACTGAGTTTAAGGTGAGATTTCTATGTTATATGTTTTGCAATTATACTTGATTTGCCACAACTTAGAGTTCATGTTTTGATTTGGTCGTAATTACTAGATCTGCTTCTACCGTTGATCTAATTATCTTCTTGGTGAGCTGTATATCCTTAGTTAACTCTCTATTTCTGCGTAATTTGATTGGTATAAGGAACGTGGAGGACCTTGCATCTACACTTTAATCCTTTGTTACTGGAACTAATTGCAAGATTCACCTGTGTTTTTAATGCATATGCTTCCATGGGTGAATCTTTATGCTTTGCGTAAATGTTGGTATTTTCTATATTTCTTAGCATTATCTATTTTATTTTAATATTTACTACTCATGTAATATAGTCTATATCTTATGCATTTTCATTGTCAACAAATTCAAAATGGGCAAATGGAATTCACAATTCTTACTTGCTGGAAGATAAATATAGAATCTGCAGTGGCTTCCTTTTTCTGAATCCATGTTAATTCCTCTTGAAGGAACCATATTTCTTTCTATATGCACTTAAGTTACTCCTTAAAACACAGAGATATAATTTGGATGCTATCGACAGCAGAACAATGCCCTTAATTTTCACCGCTTTCCGTTCCTTCCCTGGTTTATTTCTGATTAAATGTGCCACCCACTGTCTCACATTTCATTGGATCTCTGTGTGACCATCATCATCAGCCACAAAATATATGCCAATTTCTAACTACCTGCTGGGTCCTCAAGATTTAAAACATACGACTTGGGCTTTGCCCTCAAGGAGCTTGCAGTTTAGTTGGAGAGAATCCAGAAGAAGACCAGCCACTGAGCATATTAACCAAAGAGACAGAAACAGTGTAACAGAGCTGGAGAAGGGAAAAATGAAGATGGTTCCTGCACAGCTCCAGGAGCTGTAGCAATACGCGTGATCTCCCAGGACTTCCCAGTGTGTGTACGTGGTGCTGCACTAACTTCTCCCATATAGTGTCTGCTGGGTCCTCATCTATTAAGGGGATATTAACTCTGAATCACAGAATCTTAGAACTGGCATGGAGGTCAGAGGTCATTTACTCCAACCTGTTCATTTTAAAAAATGGCAATCTGAGGCCCAAAGATGTTAAGCAGCTTGGCCAAGGTCATGTAGCTAGTTTAGTAACGAAATTGGAACCATAAACCATGTCTTCTGATAGCTGGTCTAGTGCACTTTCTGCTACACCTCTGATCAATGGCATTTTCTCACCATCAGATCACATGTTCATTTATTCATTCCTTTCCAAGAAGGAGCATCTGCCTGTGTGAGGCACTGGGGCTACAACATGAGTGACATGAGGCCACATTGTCAGGGGATAAGTCAGGGGAACAACAAAATCAGCCTCCAAACTGAGACCCTTTGAAAAAGTGAGAGGGTCTAATAATAAGCCATTTGTGCACATCAGGTGTACACCAGGACTCAGTACCACTATGGATCTGTACAGGACATATACACAGTCTACTTGGGACACTGTGAGGGCACAAAGGTGGGAGGGGCCCACCTGCATCTGCTGGTAGCGGGAGGGGTGTCCAGTCAGGGAAGGCTTCTTGGAGGAGGCAGTGCTTGAGCTAACTTAAAAGTTACTGGTTACCGGACGGGCTCAGTGGCTCACGCCTGCAATCCTAGCACTCTGGGAGGCCGAGGTGGGTGGATTGCCCAAGGTCAGGAGTTCGAAACCAGCCTGAGCAAGAGTGAGACCCTGTCTCTACTATAAATAGAAATAAATTAATTGGCCAACTAATACATATAGAAAAAATTAGCTGGGCATGGTGGCGCATGCCTGTAGTCCCAGCTACTCGGGAGGCTGAGACAGGAGGATGGCTTGAGCCCAGGAGTTTGAGGTTGCTGTGAGCTAGGCTGACGCCACGGCACTCACTCTAGCCTGGGCAACAAAGTGAGACTCTGTCTCAAAAAAACAAAACAAAACAAAACAAAAAGGCCAGGCACAGTGGCTCATGCCTTTTATTCTAGCACTTTGGGAGGCTAAGGCAGGAGGATCGCTTGAGCCCAGGAGTTTGAGGTTACTGTGAGCTAGGCTGACGCCACGGCATTCCCTCTAGCCTGGGCAACAAAGTGAGACTGTCTCAAAAAAAAAAAAAAAAAAGTTACTGGTTACCAAGAAGACAGTGTGGGAAGGCATTTCCCACCTCTGGTGTGCTCTGATGCAGCGTGGTGGATGGCGCCGACAGACTAGAGCTAAGCCTGCAAAGGAGAGGAGGGATCCTACCCTAGAGGACCTCTCCTGCCATATTCAGCAAGTGGATGGGGCTTTCTCTTTTGTTGGGGATGGGCATTTGGTCACCCGGGGAGCACACACTTACGGAGCGTCTGCTATGCAGCAGGTGCTGCTCTGGGCGCTGGGAGCACGGGGACCACAGTAGATCCCTGCTCTGAGCACCGCCGTGTAATGGTCCAGCAGAAGCCCTGGAGATGCACTGTGTTCCCAGTCGGCTGCACCACACAATGAACTTGTCACCTTGCTCAAGCCGTGATGCCGTCAGGGTTTCCTCATAAAATGGGGATAAGAATCCTTTCTCATAGGTGGCTGTTAAGGGAACTCAATGAGTTAATATTCCCAGTGCTAGAACAGCTTCTGGAATATAGCAAGCAAGTTCATAAAATAGAACTGAGCTTACAGTATGTACTTGGGTAAATCTTAGCAAATGATTAGATAATATTTTTTTTTTTTTGAGAGATGAGGTCTCACTCTGTCACCCAGGCTGGAGTGCAGTGGCACAATCATAGCTCACTGCAGCCTTTAACTCCTGGCTCAAGTGATCCTCTGCCTCAGCCTCCCGAGTAGCTGGGACTACAGGCGCATACCACCAGCCCCAGCCAACTTTTGTCATTTGTTTAGGGATGGGGTCGCATTCTATTGCCCAGGTTGGTCTCCAACTCCTGGGCTTAAGTGATCCTCCCTTTTCAGCCTTCTGAGCAGCTGGGATTACAGGCATGAGCTACCTCATCCAGCTCTTACTAGATGAATTCTATGAAGAAAATAGAGGCAGCTCCATTGAGGAGGTGGCATTGGAGTTGAAAGTGCTTGACAAAAGGGAACATTCCAGGTAGAGGAAATAGCTAGAACAAAGACCCTCAGTGGGAACAGGCATTAGTGTACTCTAAAAGCAGCAGGCAGCCAGGCACAGTGGCTCAGGACTGTAATCCCAGCACTTTGGAAGGCGAAAGCAGGAGAATTACTTGAACCCTGGAGTTCAAGACCAGCCTGGGCAACATAGGAAGATCCCATCTCTACAAAAAAATTTAAAAATTATCCGAACATGGTCTTGTGCTCCCGTAGTCCTTACTCAGGAGGTTGAGCCCAGGAGTTGGAGGTTACAGTGAACCATGGTCGTGCCACCACACCCCAGTCTGGGCGACAGAGTGAGATCCTGTCTCTAAAAAAAAAAAAAAAAAAAAAAGCAGCAGGCCAGAGTCGCTGGAGCACCATGGCCAAGGTAAAGAGTAATGTGAGATGAAGTCAGAGTGGCCAGCTCACACAAGACTTACAGCAAGCTGAGTGTACTCTCAAGGCAGTAGCAACCCGTGGTGAGCACAGAAGCTGGGCAATGACAAGGCCAGCTTCATGTGTCAGAGAGAACTCTGATGTGATAGCAGGATGCTGGGGAGAAAGTTAAGGTGCTCCGTTCATCTGCATGAGAGAGTTAAGGGCATGGCTTCAGGCGGTAAAGGGGTTTGGAAAGGAGAGGAGGGAGGAGAGAAAGGTACGCAGGGAGGAAGGGGTGGGGTCACGGCTGACTGCATTTCTGTCCTGACTCATCTGCTCTGCTATTCTCTCAAAGGGAAACTATAGCAGAGGCAGTGGGCAGGCCAAGAGGACAAGGCCACATTTGACATGCGGAGTCTGAGGGACTCTGAGACCCCTGCTGCTGGCCTTGCGAGGACCGGAAAGGAGGAGAGCAGTCTGCGCTGGGTCTGACGGTCCGGGAACCGCCAACGCCAGATCCAGGTCTCAAGAGGACCATGCGCAGGAGGAGGCCCGGGTCCCAGGGCCCAGGCCGCGGAGAGGAGAATGTGGCCAGCCACTGTCGGTGCCCCACAGCTGCTTGAAGAATGGATGGATGTGCCAAGTACTGACCAGCGGAGAGAGAGGAGCCTGTGAAAGCAGCGGAGAAGGAAAGACCAGAGCGGCAGGAGAGACACAATGAGAGCAGCGTAGAGGAGAGTGTCTCGGAGAGAGGGGTCAAGGGGTGGCAGAGTGGGAGGACCACCCGGAAGGAACCATTATGACATCACTGGCGGCTTTAACAGCAATGTCGGGGAAGTTGGGGTGAGCGGTAGGGGTGTCGGCATGCAGTGAGCCGAGAATGAATAGGAAGAAAAGATGACAAGTGTAGACACTTCTTTTAAGGAACCTGGCTATGAAAAGAAGAACAGAGGGAAGACAGGGTGGGATTGTAATGGGAAAGTAAATAGTTTGTGTGTGGCCTGCAAGAAGGTGTTAGTAGCCAGAGGGGGAGTGAAACTAGAAACTGGAATAAGGGGTGGGGCTAGAGCAGGAGGTGCTCCCTGCGGGAGCCGCCAAAGCCCCTGAGGGTCAACTTCGGCTGAGAGAGGACAGGTCTTCCTCTGAGCCGAGGAGAGGTTGCCAGGGCCGTGTGCAAGGAGATCGTTTTGAGGATGTGGGCACAGGATGTTAAGGGAGTTTACACCCTTGAAACTTGGAATATTCTTGGGAATTGCTATGGTCTGAATGTGTCCCCCCAAATTCATGTATTAGAAACTTAATCTCGGCCGGGCGCGGTGGCTCACACCTGTAATCCTAGCACTCTGGGAGGCTGAGGTGGGCAGATTGCTCAAGGTCAGGATTCAAACCAGCCTGACAAGAGCGAGACCCCGTCTTACTATAAATAGAAAGAAATTAATTGGCCAACTAATATATATAGAAAAAATCAGCCGACATAGTGGCGCATGCCTGTAGTCCCAGCTACTGGGAAGGCTGAGGCAGGAGGATCGCTTGAGCCCAGGAGTTTGAGGTTGCTGTGAACTAGACTGACGCCACGGCACTCACTCTAGCCTGGGCAACAGAGTGAGACTCTGTCTCAAAAAAAAAAAAAAAAGAAAGAAACTTAATCTCCAGGAAAACAGAGGGGGTGGAGCCAGTGGCAGAGGGCTCATGAACTGATTGAGGTTACTATAGAAGAGGAGCGAGCTTGCTTTCTTCTGCCATGTGAGGACACAGCAAGTAGGCCCTCACTGCACGCCAACACCTTGATCTTAGACTTCCTGGCCTCCTGAATTGTGAGAAAATCAATCTCTGGCTTTGGGATTTTGTTTTGGTTTTCATTTTTTTGGTGTTTTTTGTTTTGTTTTTGTTTTTTTAAGACAGGGTCTTGCTTTTTTTTTTCTTGAGAAAGTCTCGTTTTGTTGCCCAGGCTAGAGTGAGTGCCATGGCGTCAGCCTAGCTCACAGCAACCTCAAACTCCTGGGCTCAAGCAATCCCCACTGCTCAGCCCTCCGAGTAGCTGGACTACAGCATGCGCCACCATGCCCGGCTGATTTTTTATATATAGTGTGCCAATTAATTTCTCTCTATTTATAGTAGAGACGGAGTCTCGCTCTTGCTCAGGCTGGTCTCGAACTCCTGACCTCGAGCAATCCTCCCACCTCGGCCTCCCAGAGTGCTAGGATTACAGGCGGAGCCACCTGTACAGGTGGCTAGCCACCAAGACTAGCCAGCCTACTAGTCTTCTTAACTTACTACTTTCTGTGCATAGAATTGCACCCCACAGAAGTGGAGGGAGAAGAGGGTAGATTTGGGGAACAGCCTGAGGGGTCACAGGAAGTCAGCTGTGACCAGTAATCATGCTAGAGGTCAGTGAGAACCAGGCAGGTCCAGGCATTGCCCACAGGTGCCTAACACAGGAAGGAGGGCTTAGAGTCCAAAACTGGCCTCGGTGGCCCACGATGACAGATAAACAGGCTCAGCATCTGCCCTTTCTCCCAACGCTGCCCTTGCCTTTCTGCAAAGCCTAGTCTTCGACCCTCAGCTCTTCTCTCCCTTGAGGTCCTTGTCTGTTCTCACAACTTCAGATATCTTCTCTGTGGGCTCGACTCCCATGCTACTGTGGCCCCAACCCGCCCCCACGACCTAGCCAGCAACGTCACTGTTGATGCCCTGGAATTGCCAGTGAGGAATGAGGTCTCCCACACTATCCTCCCCTTCGAGCTGGCTTGGGCCATGCTCTCTCTTCCTCGTTGCTGCCTCTGCCTCCAAACGGCAGGCCTTCCCTGCTGCCCCTGTGAAGTCCCACAGCCCTGCAGACCCACCACCCAGTGTAGCATTTACTGCACTCTTGCTTGTGTTTCAGAGTCTGCAGGGAGTGTGTCTGGTTCCCTGTCCAGAGGAGTGAGCTTCCTGCAGATGGGGCCTGGCCGTGTGCTGCTTTCCGCCACCGTGTTTGGAATCAAGCCTTGGAAATGGTCGTTTCCTCACTCACTAAATGCTTGTGGAGGGAAACTCGAGAGTGGCCGCTGCGTAGTAGCCAGTGGCAGGAAGTGTAGGCACATAAAGTGTTTGCAACTGAGCAAAGACTCGAAAGGGGGCAAAATTATGGGAGGAAGGGGAAACTGAGTCACTGCTAGGAAGGTTCCAGCCAGTAGGGGTGGAGTTGGAGGAAGAAGAGGAAGGAAGAGGAGAGCCTGTGGAGAAGGGGCTGGTGACAAGTTTAGAGCCCAGGATGGGAATAGGTTGGTCACTGACAGCCACGAAAGCTCTAGAAAGGGCAGTATGCTCGAGGCGGGTCTGCACCAGCGCTGGGCACCTGGCAGCAGTTGCCGGAAGCCAGGCGCCTACGGGGAGGAGGTGCTGATGGGCAGAGACTAGAGTGACAGTGACCAGTGATGGAAGAGCGAGGAGTCCACGTGGGTCAGAGAAAGAACAGCGTTTGGCAGAGGGTGTGGGGCGAGGAAGGTGGTGGCACCCCAGAGAGTCTAAGCTTTACCCCGCGATTGGAAGAAAAGGAATAAAGAGAGGCTGGTAAATATTTGCATTGCTTGGTGGTCCCATCCAACCCCATCCAACTGGGTTGCTCCTGCAGGTTCCTGGTCTCCCCCGGAGAGGCCCCCGGGGGGTGGTGGTGAAGGGAGTAGAGCCATCTTCCCTCTGTGGAAGCTGAAAGGGCCAGCTCCTCCTCTGCTCACCTAGTGCAGCTGGTGTGACTGAGGTGTGGCCCCGCGCACCTCCTCTTTCAGGATGCCGAAGCCGAGCAGACGACGTTAGGAAGTGGGGGAGATGGAGGTCATTCCTACTGGCCGGCAGCCTCTTCTCACTAAGCCACTTAGCAGTGGGGCCACAGAGCTCCCTGGCTCCCTGCCTCTCCCAAACCTGGTCCTCCAGTCCATTCTGGGAGCCACCTCCAACCCCCCACATACACACACACACACACACACACACGCGCGCACATACACACATACAGGCACATGGCTTCCCTTAAATTCTTCTCTTCTTTGGAGTCAGTTTCTATTGCTTGCAACCAAGATCTCTGCCTAACTCGAAGAGTTCATTGCTGTTAATTAAAGCGTGAGAGTGCTGTCAGACTGCTATGCAGATGTGCACTTTGCAGACTGTTACAGAACCACTGCAGCTTTGTTCATCCGTCTACACATGTGCCAGGCATTGCATGCCAGGTACTGGGGGCAGAAAGACAATCACAGTAGACCCTGGTCTTACGTAGGCAAGTGAGTATGTCTGACTTTGAATTCACTCAGAAACAAATCCCAGACAAGGATTCAAGTGCAAATAGTTTACTTGGGAAATGGTTCCAGGAAACACTGACAGAGGACTGGGAAAGTAAGACAAGGAAGGAAAGAGAGCCCACGGCGGGCACGTGGCCACGAGAGCTACTGCAGCAGGCCACTGGAGCCCAGTGTGGCTGGACACCTTGGGAGACAGTGTACAACAGGCCTCGAAGTCTTCCTTTGTCCGCCAGCTGCCGTCTGTCACTGGTTGCAGACTGCTTCCAGAGCCTGTCGGCTCCCTGTCACAGTCACTGTCCTCTGTGTGTGCAGAGTCAATGGCCTGAGCAGTCCCTGGGCAGAGACACAGATAGGGACTGCCAAGGGCCCATGGCAGAGGACCACGTCCAGGGCTACAGAATGCAGCGGAGAGTTCTACAGGTTTTCTGAGAGAACTAGGACAGGGCACGGCAGACACTGGGAAGGAATGGCCGGTCCAGAGAGAATGTCAGACCGGGAGACATCCTTCGCTAAGGCTTCCCAGGGATGATGACTTTTGAGTTTGAACCTGCAGATGTGGCATAGGAAGGCAGATGGAAAGAAAACCTCCTGTGCCACCGTCCCACTCTGGAGGAGCCAGACTGACAGGAGGCAGCCAGAGGCATCTGAGGGACAGTCAAGAAGGAAGGAGGGGGCTGAGCATGGTGGCTCACGCCTGTAATCCTAGCACTCTGGGAGGCCGAGGCGGGTGGATTGCTTGAGGTCAGGAGTTCCAAACCACCCTGACCGAGACCCTGTCTCTACTAAAAATAGAAAGAAATTAATTGACCAACTAAAAATATATATACAAAAAATTAGCTGGGAATGACGGCACATGCCTGTAGTCCCAGCTACTCGGGAGGCTGAGGCAGGAGGATTGCTTGAGCCCAGGAGTTTGAGGTTGCTGTGAGCTAGGCTGACGCCACAGCACTCACTCTAGCCTGGGCAACACAGTGAGACTCTGTCTCAAAAAAAAAAGAAGGAAGGAGGCACGTGATGAGAGGGCCTGGCAGGTAGTACCTCTCTACCTCCCTGCACCCTGCCAACCTGGTCCCTAGCCACAGCCAGAGGTGCCCTTTAAACCAGCGGCTTTTTTTTTCTTGAGACAGAGTTTCACTCTGTGGCCCAGGCTAGAGTGCAGAAGTGCATTCATAGCTCACGGCAGCTCAAGGGATCCTCCTGCCTCGGCCTCCCAGAGTGCTAGGATTATAGGCATGAGCCACTGAGCTGGCCTAAACTAATGCCTTTTATTAAGGGCCCAGCCTGTGGCTTGACTTCCTCGACTTCCTGTGAAGAAGGCGTGATTATTCTCGCACTTCAGAGGCTGGGGGAAAAACACTAGGAGGTTCCTAAGGCTCTAGCGCGCTTCAGTGCCAGTAGCATGGTTCCCAGGCCTGGACTCGCCACCTCCCCAGAGGGCTATTTAAAAATGTGAGGTCGTGTTCCTGCTCTGTTAACATACATGGCAAGTGACATCTGCTAAAGGAGTTGGGGCTCCGATGGCTGCTGAAGGTCTCCCACGGGAAGGTGGACTCGGGACAGCCTGGCACGGATAGAGCACAGGGCACCGGGGAGGAGGAAGTCTCCCTGGGCAGAGGAGGGGGACAGGAGAGCCGCTGGCTGGGGGTGAGACGCGTCCACGTGAGATGGCTGAGGAGCCCAAGGTGGAAGTCACCATGTGTCAGGTGTCACGAGCACTAGGTTTGCAGAGTGAGGAAATC